ATATTTGCTTCAATTCTCCAAGGGAAGAAATGTGGCTCTTGTGGGAAAGGTCCACCCCTTTCTACATGTTTGCTTCCTTGAACCGAGAACACACCCCCTTACATTCTTTGAAATGGATCCAACATGCAGAGAATTGTAATAGCGTAGTATTGACCAAACTTGAAAATCTTAAAAGAGAATCAAATAGTTAAAGGGCTATGTTTGGAATCAAGAGAACTAAAGGACACGTTTATAAGTAATACAGATGAACTGTATTCAGTCTAGGGTCTGCATTTGAATACACCTGTTCTAGGCTGGTAAACGTGGCTTGTGAATGTCCTCTGCTCAGACATGTTGTAAGACCTCAGGCAAAGTTTCATATATGCCCTATATTTTTGCGCATCTTTTGTACTTGAGACCCCATCTACAAACATTTAAAGAAAAACTGTTCAGAAACTAAGTATCCACTCCTGTAAATAAAATCAGAAAGCTTTTTGAAAACACAGAGATGCAAGATTATTGACAGTCTTCACTCTATACCCTAAAGAGATAACTTACACTAAAGTTGGTATCCACTAACTTCTACCTCATTAAGACTATCTGCCTGTCATAAAAACTTAATGTTCTAACAAGACTTTCTTCTATTACGGAATATCATATATTCCCAAGACAGAAGTTGAGGTATTCTATATATGCAGGCTTTTGTGCATGGATCTTTACTTTTATATCCTTAAATCCCTTTACTTCATTCCAGTTTTAGGGAAAAGGCACATATATTAAAATTTTCTTTTACAAGATAGTTTAGTATTTAAATGGGATAGTTAGTACCACTGGTATGTTCATCAGGCATTCACTGATAAACTCAGTTCTTTAATTTCCAGGCCTGCAAAAAGGAAGCTTTGCTATTCTGCCTATGTCTTTCATTTGGCATTGGAGTGACTAATTAACAGTGAATATATAAACTGGAACTGAAGGTAATACAACTTATTAAAACTTGTAAGATATTGTTATGATCAAAGAAAACCTGGAAGTGTGTGCCATAAATCCACTCAGATGAAACATCTCATTCACTAGAATTTCATACCTTATAATCATGCACAGAAAATTAAATACATAAATATTAATTTTATGTATCAATAGAAGAAGTAGGCAATGAAAATACAATGTTTACATTTATGAGTGACTCATTAGTGTTTTATTGTGTGAAACACTAGGAGGCATCAGTTGGGTAGAAAAGAACCTCAATTTTTAAAGAAGCAAGAAATTATTGCAAAGTTGGATATATAGGAAGTTGGGGTTTTCAAAACGTTATTAGGTAAACCAAAAGCTTAATCTCTTTAATAAACGCTTAAAACATTGTATTTTTGCTGTAAAGAATGATCTCCATATAACATACATGAAATATATTTATATAAAATCATCCGACCAATACTGATCTATCAAAATCTACTTCAAATAAAGGTAATATACGGGCCCATGATTACATTTATGCATTTTATGGGGAATATATCTGGTGACAGAATAACATAATGGCTCTTGACTACTTTGCATTTTCTGCTCAGTTACTTCATACCAGACGTGTACATATTATTCTGCATATTGTTTTGTCCTCTCTTAACACCTCTGAAAACACCTAATGGTATTTATTAAGCTTGATCTTAATTGTTTCTCATAATAATTCAGAAGTTCTGTGTCAGAACTTAAAATGCAGGCAACGAAGACATTTTTTTTAAAGGCATTTTCTCTTACTTCACTTTTGAAAGCCTGTCATTCGAAAACTTGAGATTTCCCTTTTGAATGGCTCTTCATAAAGATGAAGCAACAGGGTTGTGGTACACTTCTCTGACAATCATTTGTAATTGGAGTATCTTGTCATTCCCAACAATCAGCTTTTATCTCTGACCTATCAAAATAACACGTGAACTGCGTAATTCGCTTTTTGTAAGGTGCAGTGACAACATTGTCGCTTCTAGTTTTATGAATCACTTCTGCAAACTGGTTTGATTTCCTAAAAATGACAGAGCTCGGTGAACACTCAGGCTTTACAGTGCACAAGACAGACCAAGCGCCCTCGAGACTAAGGTGCAGTGCTGCAGACGGAGCTCCTAATCACCTCCCCTTCCACATGGAGCACACGGAATGAACATCAGTGATTCAATCTTTCCTTTGTGTCCAGGACATCACAACATTCATAAAAAGAGCATGTACATTCTACATGCTTTAGGCATTGACTTGTGTGATATTTTCCCAGAGAATGTGCTTGTTGAAAAAAAAAACAGAACTTTTTCAATGATCTCTACAAAGTCCACTCAGTGACCTTTAATTGCATAGGAAATTCTACCATGTTTGAATCATACCCCTGATTCTCTGTTGAAGAACTATTTTGTTGTTGCTGGAATGCAAGCTTAAGTGTTGCTGCAGAGACATTTCCCCATTTTTGTCACTTTCCGAGATTTCAAAGACTCAAAATATACCGCATGAAGAGTTGGGAAATAAAACCACAAACTATAGTATAATAAACAGAAGAAAGTTTTCCAATAGAATATTAACGTGCTGGAGAGTTATCTAATTCAGGTTTTCAAAAGAAAAATTTAAATATAATTAATTACTTAGAAAGATATGAGCACAATGTTATTCAGTTTATGGATTCGGTCAAATGATGACCAAGGAAGAAATTTATAGAAATCTGAAAAACATAAAACACGACGGTTCATTAGGATTCAATTTTGGAACATCAAATACTGTTTTTCACTAGTGAAATGACCCATTTCCCCCACATTTTGAAAACTGATATATTTACAATGAAGAAAAGAGGCAAAATACACTAAGTCCGTGTTGATTCAATTTCATGCATTTAATTGGGCTTTTACTATGAAAAGTTAATGTAGAGAATGACATACTTTTAAAGTATGAACAGCTCAGGAAAGGTGAAAGATTAGCTTTATATTATAAAATGCCATTTGTTATTAAAACTTAGGAAATAAAATGCTATTTCATAACATTTTTATCTTTAATATTCTCTTTCAACATGCTCCTTTTATGTATACAGTATTCATAATGTAAATAATGTAATTAATGAACCAAGTGAAAACTGTCTTTGGTAAGAAGTCTGGAAAATATGCCACATATACTCTGAAGCTATAGGAATGACACTGGGAAGAAACAGATTTTTATGAAGTTTAATAAAACTTCAACAGATTAAACTGCCAACTATTGTCTCTTTTACTTGACTGAAGAGGGAAGGTCCATATTTTAAACAAACACTGAATTTGAACTATTTTGATGAAACCCTTAGAATTAAGGTAGGATATAAAGTCAAATGCACTTTTCTATAACTAGAATGAGATATTTCAGAAATAATTTTTCTTCTGGAGATAGGATATTAGACAGGTACATCTTATTTTTAACCTGTCAAGTTCAGAGTCAACTTGCTTTAGAACCACTTATTTTAATTTAATAAATAAGTTCATGTGACACTGGAAGGCAATGATATGGCTTTTGAACTGCATTATAGTTAGCTGAAACCAACAGAGAAACAACACAAAACTGTCAGTGCCATACTGGTAAATGATGAGCACTTTTTGAATGCTATCCTATACTGATGCTATTTAAAATTTTAAAATAAATGTTCTAATTTCAAATTGGAGATTTTAATTCATTTAAAGTTGAAAATTAATCTTCAACACAGAGGTTAAATGGGGTTCACAGGTGGTCACATTTCCATGTCCTACCAAGCCTCTAGGGATTGGAGTTATTATACTCTACATAAACATCTTCACTCTGTAACCACAATTCCATTGCAAGGTGCCAGTGAAAAAGAGACTGGTCACTTTTTTTGACTGGTATAATGAGGTGGCTGGAGTTCCTTTTATAGCACTTAGAAAATATATGCAGACACTGTTTCACAAGACAGTTACTATTAGAGTTAGTATCAGATTTACAATAGTAAAACCACTTTGTGTCAAAGCAATTCTCTACTGAGGGTTAAAGAACTGGCAGAGAGCCTGATTCTACTTATACTGTCAGCATTTACATACAAAGGTATTTTATACAAAAGACATTCTAAATATAAAGTAAAATGGCTTTCCCCCCAAATGCTACCACTGGACCTAGATAGTCAAAAATGTTTCAGATGTAAAATTTCCTTTAATAGTCACATTCTGGGAAGTAAAGCATTAGTATTAAATTTAAGAACTTGCATAATATATAATAAAACAATGAACACTGAGCCATGTTTTTGATATAATTAATTCCTTTCTGACAAACTTTATCAAGTTTGGTAACTTTCATCCAAAGTACAAACAGAGGCAATTTAAGGGACTTAATCCTGTTTTTGAAAGGCTATGCATTTGACTTGACCTAAACAGCGCTGCATCCTAAACTGAAAACCCAACAGGATCTGCAAAAGGTAAGCTGCATGGCCAGAATATTACTTTATAATAATTTTTTTTGGTCCAAACCAATTAAGAAGCTCTCTATCAAGCCATCACTTTTGGGAAAGAAGGAGATGACAAAGGTGTACATACTGAGCCAGCCAGCCATGCTCTAGCTCAAACTAATCTCAAGAATTGGTGGTTCAGAAGCATAACCCAAAGCAAATGGGTGTCTTTGGGGGAACTCATAGGAGCGTCTATCCACAGTGAACTGCTAAATCTTACGGCATGTGCTTCAAGGTCACGGAACATTCTGTGAAATATTAGAATTCATCAGGCTCCACAGGATCCACCATATCAAACATGCTAATGACGTGAACTAACTTCATGAAACTTTAAACACACTGGCGTGACAAGAACGAGTCAGGAGCGATCTCAGTAGCTGATGGCAAACGGAGAGACTATCTAAAAAGTTACTTTTATCAACAAACCAGGAAATCTAACGAAAAGACGGCACAACCAGGCTGAAACTTCAGCTTTCCAAAAGGTACGGGGCAAGACTCGGTGCCATGGAATATCCTGGTGCAGATTTTCAGAGACAATACCCAGGCTAGTGCTATTTCTTGGAAAAATGTCAGAGGTACTTACATGAAGGAAGACCAGATCAGATTAGTCCTTGGGAAATTTTCCTTTCTTAAGGGAGAGAGAGAGAAAAAAAAAAATAACAAGATCTTTACTTCGTCCAGCCTGAAAGTGCTTCTCCACCTAATTCAAACATGCAGCCGCGGCGACCCACACAGAACCTTCAAAGTCAATCCAATAGCAGCCCGAAGATGTCTGGGTGTACGCGTGTGCTCAAGTGTCTGTGACTGCGAGCAGAGCGAGCAGAGAGCTGGAGACGATGTGTGTGTGCGCGTGAGCGCGCCGGGGGAGCGCGCGCGGGGCCGCGCATTCGCGCGCGCCGAGACCGCTCGGAGGAGGAGGAGGAGGAGGAGGAGGAGGAGGAGGAGGAGGAGGTGGAGAGGAGGAGGAGGTGGAGAGGAGGAGGAGGAGGAGGAGGTGGAGGAGGTGGAGGAGGAGGAGGAAGAGGAGGAGGAGGAGGAGGTAGTGGAGGAGAAGGAGGAGGAGGAGGAGGAGGAGGAGGAGGAGGAGAAAGTGGCTCTCAGCGGCCGGCCGGATTAAAAGTAACCAGACTCGTCCAGAAAACTGCGTCCAGGAAGGAAGTGACAGAAGACGAATAGGAAAGAGAGAGCCGCTCACAGCCTTTGAAACCTCGCGTAAAAAAGGCGGGGGGCGGGGGGCGTGGTGGAAGGATATTGGGAGGGGAGGCGGGGGTGGCCGGGAGAAGGGGGCGCACAGGCTGGGGGTTCCAAGCACGTCCGATGAAGTGCCTCTTGCCTTCTTATTTTCCCTTTATTTGATTTTTGTCCTCGCCTTGGCTCCGCTCTGCCTGTTTCCCCCCGTCTCTCCAGCACAATCCCGAACCGTTGACTCTTCCTTGCGAGCTGGAGAAATCATCAGTTTCACTCTTGCAAAAGGGGGGCGGGACTAGAGCTCGAAGCATTTTAATAAAACAAACATCCAGCAGTTCCCTCCTCACCCCTCCAGTCGCAACTAGATTGATAAATTACTCCAGCACACTACTTTAATTATGTATATGGTATGCAGAATAAATCACTGAACATCAGTACCTCAATCAAGCACTTTTAAATGATAATTGCATCTTGGTGAATCAATCTTTCCATTCCTGACATTTTGCTAATTTTAGTTTTACGGTGGGGTAACGGCACATGCCACACGCAAACCTAATGACAATTCTTTAGGGCTCGGAAAGAAGACAACACGGCGAGCGGCGGCTCCCCGCTCCGGGCGCAGCGGCCGAGAACGCTCGGAGAACTGAGTCGCCGCCGCCGCGCTCACTCCCCGGGGATGCTGCGAGCCAGCCAGCAGGAAAGTCCTTCTAAAGTCGGAATCTTCCCTCTGACCAATCGGAGCGCGACCCTAAGAGTTGTGCTGGTGACTTTTCCCCCCGTTTGAGCGCGCGTTAACCGTTTCGTTCTTCCAGCGGTCACAGCGCTCCTCTGCTATCCACGCGGAAAAACCACGGTGCAGGATGCCCGCCGCGCTGGATTCCAGATTCCAGCGCGCTTCCCCGCATGCCTGGGCCACGCGGCTCTCCGGCCCCGAGAGGCTGGAGGGTTGGGGAAAGAAAGCCGAAAGGCTTCTCCTGGCGTTAGCCCCGAGCAAAATCATTCAAGAATGATCCCAGCGTTTGGGATCTCGACTTCATCGTGGGGCCGTGAACTTTCTCATCAGTTTGGAGAGATTTACCGAGGCGGTGGCTTCCACCGAGGCTCCCCCCTCCCTCCTCCCACTCTATCTCTTCCACACCTTGCTGGATTTTATCCAGGGTATTAGCGCGTAAACTAAACCAACTTCCCAAATGCATTCCCTATCCAATCTCTCAGGACTTCACTTATCCTGAAGAGTTTCAGCTGCACAGGAAGCAGAAATGGAGACAGATAAGAAGGATACTTATGCTAAGGTTTAAAGCAGAGTAAACATTTTAACTTACACCCCCACTACCCCCCCCTAAAAAAAAGGTTAATATTCAAGATTTAGGAAAGATTACTAGGGTTAGGGCACCTCCCCTCCTTGGGCAATTCTACTACGCTCAATAAAGACCACACAAAATATACCAACTAGTACACACACCAGGGGGGGAAAAACAATGCAATGGCATGCCAGTGGAATTGCAAATTATATACAAAATGTTTAAACTAAACAGAAAGAAGTGAATATTGTAAAAGGAAGAAAGGAAAAGACACAGGGGATATAAAAACGTTGAATTTGCAAGAGTAGACAATAGGAGCATACTGAAATACCTAGCTAATTAAAGATTTTTCTTCCGCACTTAAAAAATTCCTTTGAGCACTATGTGTTTAACCCAATGACTAGTTGCATTTCCTGTTAAGTTCTACACTGTGCCTCTGGACTATTTTAATGTATGAGGACAGTGTGATTCCAAAAGACTGCTTCATCCTTGGGGTTATTTGGTGTGAGTAGTTTCTCTCAGAAGAGTGGGCTCAACCTTTAAGGAGGCATTTCAATTTCAAGGCGTCACTTGAAAGGAGAAGGTTGATTTTTACAGGCAAGTACAAGATGTTAACAATCTTCAGGCTTCTAGCTAATCACTTTTGCGACTATCAGCACAACTAAGAGAAATCTCCTGCTCTCATTATAGGAAAGCATGGCAAACTGTCACAAAGCAAAACCCATCTGAAAGTGTATTTTTTGAATATGACCATAATATTTTCTTTACCTGTGACTTTGCTACTATCAGGCATTCATTAAATTAAATGGCAGAAATTATCTACACCAAGCTATCCATCTAGGTACAAGTTCTTAAAAATTAAGACAACCAAAGACACACAATTACTTGGCATACCAAAGTTTGTCTATGTGCGGTGATAAGAATGGAATTAATTTGTTTCCCTGATGCATATATGTTCTGAGAAAGCAAACTAGTCGGGAAACATGTGAGTTTATTGACATAATGCCGGGTATTGATACAATGAATTGTAACAACCTATATTTACTACATGTGCAAAAAGACCCAGACAACACGTTACTCTCAACTATACTATTTTTGATAGATTGTAGGAATATTTCTGTTTACCACAATACAGTAAGCTTTAGTCTTAGACTGTCTTCCTTAAAAAGATACTATTTTATCTTTTTAACTATTTAAAAATTAGGTAATAATAAAACTTTAAACATTAGGAATTATCAGTGATAATGCATGAAAAGTATACTTGAAAGTATATTATTTAATCCAACAATGTGGAACATTTGAAAATTATTTGGATCTGAAATGTATCACAATTGGCCTTTTAAATTGTAGTATTTTTCTCTCTCTGCTTTAGATTCATAATTATGTGTGATTGATAAAACTCTAAGTTAATTTAGAGTTATTTTCCTTCACATGAGTCTTCATACTTGAAGCAAAAAGAGGAGGTGGTAATGAAATATACAATTTAAAGGTACCTGAGATTTAAAATTAGTCATTGGTAATCTACAAAATGATTAATCCAATATTTACTTTGTGTTCATCTTTAAATGTTTCTCTTTCCTTTTCTTTTTTTTTTTTAAAACCCAGACCATCCCAATCCTTGCTGTCTTTGTACCTGGCTAGGATCAGATAATTTTCTGGTAGAGAAAGATAAGGTCTGAGGAGGCCTGATTCAAGATTTGTGCCTAACTAATGACTGTACCCTTTCTGGGCCTCATTTTGCAATGGGTTAGATGAAATTTAGAACTTGTTCCAGTTCCATGATTGCAAAGCAGACATTTCTTAAGACAACTAGAAGCCAGTGACTATTCTCTTAAATAAAAGGTAACATTTTCTTTCAGAGAAAATGACCTTGAATTAATGCACTCTTACACCAGCTTTTTAACCACCAATCATCAAATATTTCTCCCATTAGTGCTTATAACTGCTTTCTAGAAATATAAATATATGCTGACTTGTCTTCCTCCCAAAAGAATTGTTTAGCAATATATTTAATTAAAATGACATACAGAAGGTGTGAGCTTTTGGGTTTTAACTCAGAGGAAAACAAATTTCCAATTTTTATTCAGGGTTGCATACCATTTTACTCCAACCTCCTTTTTACTACTTCCCTGCATTAAAGCAGCAGTCTACTAAAGCCCTATGCACTGGGTCTGCCTGCTTTTATGCTTGGCCCACGCTGGGTGTAGCTCTTGAAGTGAGCTTTAAGAAATTATTTTCAAGTAAGCTGGGGTGGTTGCTACAGCAACTCACCCTGAGATGAAGAAAGGCAATAGATTAATCTACCCATCAAGATTATTCAACTGTATAGTATTTGCTCTTCAATCAGAATACTTCTTAACATAAACATGACAATGGAGCATAGAAGTTCACAAAAATATAAAAAAATGTAATAGATAATTCCAATAGCATAAAAAAAGATGTTATATCTTCTTATAATGTATAGGTGATATATATAACTTTCCCATAAATGGGATTCATTGCAAAAAAGACTTGGAAACTTGAATGTTGACATCTGAACTTTAAGCAAAATGGCACGGTGCTACTAACAATAGAAAGTATATTATATTACTATAACTATCACTTTTGTATATTGTAATGTCTACTTTCAAAATACCTGATGATGGAAAATTTGCAGTTTTACCTTTGTGAATGAACTTTGTGCTAGATAATATAATAAATGTTAAGTACTCACCACATACACTTCACTGTCTCAGTCATTTGCCTTCTATTCTTTACTTCATCTCTTCATAGAAGTTACTTCACAGTTTGCAACTCTACTTTGGCACCCTAAAGTATGAAAGTATAAAAAAAGGCATATGGTATTTTCTGAAAAATGCAGGTAGGTATTAAAGTACATTTAAATAAGTTTCATTACTAAAAAGAGTGACTTTTCACCTGAAGTCACTTTACTATTAATTCTAATTAAAAGCCAATGTAAAATAATTAAAATTATCATAGCATTTATAACTCTTAATATAAATAGTGCCAAAGACCTAATTACAAAAATTCTAGTTACACTTTTTAGTCCATATAGAATATATACTAGTAGACCGTTTCTGATTGCCAATCTCTGTTATACAAGGGGGTTATTATTCCGAGGTTTAATCATATATCCATCTCATATCTATAGATCCTATCTATTATTTATCCTTATTTTATATCAGATGGAAATTATTATAAGGAATCTCAAGTCCCTAGCTGACCAAATTTGTCAAGTTGGGGTGTTTGGGATGTATGTGGAGTTTGCTGAAAGGGCTTCAGATGTGTTTCCTAAAGGCAACTTAAAATACTTTGGGATAGTGATGTAGAGTCAGCACTGTTTAAGTCTATTACCAACAATACTTTGTTCTTCCAAGCAGCATTTAATTGTACTTAACATACACAGATCCTCACATGTTCTAATCTGTTTGAAACTATCTCTCCATGAGTGGAGCGCAAAATGAACCTTTCCTTGACTT